CAGGGCTTGAAACCAAAACCTCTGGTTAAACTAGAAGAGTCCCTTGCCAACTCATCCACCCGCTCGTGGGTTTCACTTACTATTATTATTCTCTGGAATAAGGTTATCATATAGAAATCTCCAGTTGGCAACAGAATTCCTACCGTAGCCCATTATTGACTGATGGATAACTATTCAGAAAATTAATTTATCTAACGTTTAGAGTGAAAGAGATCACAAGCTTTCCACACCTAGCTAAAAATAAACAAATAAATAAATAAATAAAGAGGAGCGTATTCATCTACTCAAACATAGGTAGATTGGAAAATTGAATTCCATGAATAAATAACAAGACAAAAGATTTTCAAAACAAAGAAGAAAAGGAAAATTATCAAGAAACTAAATGCTAGAAGCAAAGCAAATTCTTTCCATTGTCACCCACTCTTCAAAAAATTGACTAGCTTACTTAAATTTAAAACTTGTCCAAAGTGTTAAGAATATAACCAAGTATGACAGCACATGCTGATTATTTGAGGAATATGTCTCCCGGTTTGGGTTTGTAAAGGCTTCGAATAATCCCAACATCTCAACTTTCAAAAGAATGGGCAACTAGTGGAAACCCACTGAATCAGTTCTTGCTTCCTTATTTCCAACTCTAGTAGGCTGAGGCAGCAGCTAGCATTGCCAGCCAGAAAAAGAAGAAATGGGCTTTATTCCCCACTATTAATTGCTAAATACATGCCAAACACTGGCTACAATATTAGATTCGATCATGATTGCTTACAACAATAAGAAACCCGGACCAAGCACTTAAAGTATAAAGTATCTGTTATAATGAACATGCAAAAACAAAATAACTCGCACTAACGATAGAAAATAATACTCAAAGTAAAAGAACAAATAAAATTCAACACTAGTACAACCCAAGAAACAAGTCAACAGTGGAAACCTCGAAAATTTGAGCTGCAAAACAAGACTACCATATCTAACATAATGGTTAACGGAAACATACCATAATGGGTACTGGTTCCACTCACAGAGCTATCAACTTTGGATCTTGAAGAAATGCAGCTGCTAATAAACCTCAGCTTGAGCCAACACCCAGTTTCCTCCACAGCTCCATCATCTTGTTCCTCATCCCTACTTTTCTTCTTCTTCTTCCTCCCATTCGATTTGCACACAGCCCAAGACTTCACTTTACCATCCCCACCACCAAATCCCATTCTCTCTCAAGCCCTAAATTCTCAAACCCAACTACCATCCAAACCCATCCCAAATCCTACCCAAGACCCATAAAGCAAAATTACTAAAATTCGCATAAATTAAGAAACTTTCACCTCAAACCCCTCCTCAAAGCGGCAAAATGTAAAAATAAGAATGACCCAGTTGAGGAAAGAGCCAGATCAAATGAGATACACCAAAGAAAAAAAAAAAAAAAAAAAAATTGTAAACAGTGTTGATCAAGCTCTGAATGCTTCAAAGGAGGAAAGTCTTACTCTTTCTTATATGAAATCAAAATCTCATGTTAAAGCAAGC